GACGGAGGAGGAGGGCAGAGTGCAGGGAAGCACAAAGAAGCGGTTCCTTTGAAGACCATGACCCCCGAGAGACCAAGGCAGGCACTCCCTCCACTTTCCTTCTGGTCTGTCAATGTAAATGTCACTTTTAAGCAACTGAACAGGATCAAAAAGACCACAGAGCCTTGGGACTAGCCATAAGAAGCCTTTAAATTTTTCACATTCAATATGTTTCAGTCATTTGAGAATAAAATATCATCAATCAGTTAAAAACAGTTGGATCACCTTCTAATTTACTGACTTCTCAGGAGTTAGAATATTATACATGGATCGTGATCATAATAGACAAGCACAACTACATGGAAAACCATGAGAATATATACATACATTTATCTGGCATTCAGTATTTATAAGGTGAAAGTCTAAAATGAATATTTATTTCCAAATTGTCTCTGTCTGACCCCATAACTCTCCTGGGAAAAAATATATTTTGATATTGATGAATTATAGTCAACAGTACCAATATACCAACTATTGTTGAAACATGTGTTAACTAACTCTGGAAAGGATGTGAAAGTATTTACCCTACAGACATTAACTCAATGATGGACGTAAGAAATGAACAACTGAACAAGTAAAATATTGACCCAAACCAAGATTTTTTTCTCCCTACTTTTCTGTTTCCCCCTCTCTGAATAGTAGAGTGTTTATTATTATTTAGGATGATAAAACAATATATCTTTACATCTAAACCGGAAAAAACATTGACCTCAATAAACTCTATATCTATTTCAGTTCACCAATGATTTTCTCAACTCCTTTTTGAATAAAAATAAATTAAAAAGTAAAGATAATTTTATTGCAATGCCTGTTAAATTTAGCAGGCAAGTTTTGCTGTACACATTAAAATGATACTGAGTCTAATGGTAGAATTCATTTTTATTATTTTAGTCCTTCCCAGGACAGAGACAACTGAGAATATTTATCAAGGTTTCGGACAATATACTTTCAGATATCCTAAGTATTCGGCATAATGAAGTTTTACTTGCATGATTCTCCATTAATAGTTATCTTTATGCCAAGTATGTGTCCTCATAAAAATTTAGAGAGAATTTCCAGTCTGCATACTTTATCAGCACATAGTTATTGCTGTGTGAAGCACCATAGCATCCCAGTTCATTTAATAAAAGAACATACACTCATGTTTAATAATTCCCATTATGGTAGCACATCCTTGCAACGCTACATTCAGGAAACTAAAGGACACACCTACGATACAGATATAAATTATAATGAAAACCTGTGCAATATGCACAACTAATGTGATTTTGCCTGCATCAGCACCAGGTCTGTAAAATAATGAGTTCTTTATAGTAGCATTTTACTACGAATCCTTTTCCTGTATTAAAACTCTTTTATCGTAGACTTTTTCAAATCCAAATAATCAAAAATTGTTGAAGAACAGTAACTATGTTGCATGAGCCTGTTTTTTTCTCCTTTTTGAGAAAATACGGTATGATTTAGTATAACTGCCTTCAATGGCGTACTGTAGTATCCATCTAATGGCACCCATCTAATAATGTTGTCACTAACAGTCAACTTCGATCAAATAACATCAAGCAGAAGGACTACTCACCCCATGAAATGTATCCTTAGCCCTGAGCTGAAGAAGTTCCTTCTGATGATCTTATATGCTTCTGTTTGATAAATGAAACGTTACATAAGACACATGTTCCTACAGAATAGTCCACACTGCCAGTATAGCTAAGAATTGATTTGGTGAGACTGAGTCTAGTTACACAGATTATAGAAATTATTTTGTAATCTATACATAATTGTTATAAATCTAGGATGTCAAAAAGATCACTGGGGTTGGAAATGCTAGGGCACCTATACATAAAATTAATGCATCTCTCTAACGGAGCGTTCATTTTCCAGGTCCACAATGCCTATTCACATTTTCATAGTAATTCATACATTTCAAAGACCTTTCAAATTATGTTGTCTTCACAAAAATTATGTGAGGTTGCTAAGTCAGAACAGTTGTCCCATTTTTCAAGTGATCAGGATGAGTCAGAGAAGTGAAATGCCTTTCCTGGAATCTAAATTTCTTCTTTCCATCCATTTCCCTGACCTTACATCATACTACCTGTAAAGCTCCATATCTATAAAATGGTAAACTGGATTAGTTTGTTTGGGAACAAAACTACCATAATAGTTTTTATTCCATGTAGTGTGCCTAATGTAAAAACCAATTACTTCTGTGTCAGAAACTGACTCTGAAAACACACACACAAACACGCACACACACACTCACACACCCTGAGATTTTACTAACAGTTAAGCAGACTAAGCAAGACCCTGGCCTAAATCAGAACAAGATCTTCCCAAACAGTGCTATGTAATTCTAGCTTCTTTATTGCCACTCCACTGAGGGTAGATTGTCATAGTAATCTCTCTAGCAAATTGAAATTGTATTTCAGTGCTTGAGCCTTGGTGTCTAAAAACGATAAAAGCACTCTTTTTGAGATTAGAAGCAAAAGAGGTCAGCCTCCTGAATTTCTTTACTCCTGACACGAGCCTGACTTCTAGTTTTCCTATTTCAGGCAAAGCTCCAGTGACGCTAGGCTTTGCACTCCTGGGCAGGCTTCTGTGCACATCACAATAGTGTGAGTTACTGCTGACACAGCCGCCACTCTTGTTCTTTCTAGTATTTCTTTCACTCTTGCTGATGCCATTTTGAAAAATAGTGCTGGCAGAGCCTCAAAGTCACTTACTGCCCTCTCTTATTTATGTGGCTAACTTAGTCTTAAAAATTTGTTTGCAAAGAAGATATTAATAATATACGGAAGAACAATTTGTTTAGAGTTTCTTCTTATAGATTTTATGAATTTAGTATATTGAGGTACACTACAAGACAAATGAAGTTACTAAAAAGAAAAAACAATCAGAGTTCAGAAAGCATTTATAATCTTTACAATCTGAACATAAAGAGACATCAGACTAACCCCTGTTCCTCCTCACCATTGCCTAATTAATTGTGCTGGAGTTTAATCTTTCATTTCTTAGTTTAACAGGGCTAACCTTCTGTGTCACTGTACTTACGCTATCATTAATTCCCATTTCTTAATTGTAAAATATAGGGATTTATAAGAAATAAAACCTACTATCTTACTACACCAAGGTTTCTATACTTCCAGCTCATGATCTGTGTTCTATTAAGGACAGAGTCCCACATGTTATTTACACTCTGTGTTCACTTTCAATACCTCTTAAAAAACGTCCTCCAGAAGGCCCACATCTATAATTTAACTGATAAAAATGAAGAAGGAATATAAAAAATTATCCAAAGATGAAATGCAGGATCAGCACATTGGAACTTAGGATATATTGCTACGCTAACACCATCAAAAGCTGTCAGTTTTCACCCCATGTATAATCCCGTTGATTACTTTTTAATCCAAGATGTATTTCTCATAACGATGAATAGAAAGGATTTTATCATAGATAACTAAATGAGCTAAAAAAAAAAAAAGCTTACCTATATGAGTAACATGTCACTTGTAATAAGGACATCTTTTAATATCGAAACATAATGAAATTATAAATCAGTAATAATCCACAGCATAATGAAAATGCTAAACGAAGTTGGTTGAAAGTCATCTAAAAACCAAAAGGTATTTTTGGAAGTATTTCAATATCCTTAAACATTTCAGTTTTAAAATTTCACATTTGTTAAAGAGTACTTTAAATAATTGATACTGCATGGTATTGGTAATTTTTCTTCAAAGTTCTTTAAAGGCATTTTTAATTAATTTCAATGCCATGATAAAACAGTTAAGTAAAATTTTAAAAAATTTATCATATACACATACATACCTAGATACAGAAAGCTAACTAAAATTGTCTCATACATTTGTGCAAAAGAACCATGTTGCCTTTATAAAACATAGACAGAACTGCATAAACGTAATTAAAACATACTGATAGGTATTACTGTTGTGACAATTCTTCTGTGAGATATGTAACATCACATTTTTTACCCAGCAGAAGTTGCTTGAATTTCTAGTAGAGAAGTTATATCCTGACTTACAGATATCTTCATATTTCACCTTGGTTTAAATACTCTTCAAATCATACTTATAATCATGATGGATAGTCAGATAACCACTTATTATTAGTAATTTAAACACCAAAAATGAGCAATGTAAAATAAATATATATGATCCCCTAAGCTATATCACAGGTGAAATTTGAGCTTCTGGCAGTTGATAACCGTTGGTACTTTGCCACTTTGACATAGTACCACTTAAAATAAATTTAAAATTCGAGTTTCAAAACAGCATATACTCTGGGTTCCATTTAATAATAATATAGTCACTTATTGATCAATAGAAGCTTATATAAAATGAAAAACATATTAAAAGACATATAAAAATCATGCCCTCCCTCCACTTTTTCTTCTGGGATGCTCTAGAGCCTCAGGTTCAGATGTGCAGGTGTGTTCCTAAAGTATGCGTATCATATGCACACCTCTCCATAAAGTTAATGACATCTTATTAAGTCGTTTAATCTTAAAGTACATCTAAAATAATAATGCATGAGATATTTTGGCTAATTTTTGGTTTCATCACATTGAAGAAATACTAAGTTCTCATTTTCTAAATATTGAAATATCCTATACACTTAAAACATTACTTACTAATTACTATTGCCATCTCTATTTTAAAGGATAGTTTGTCTTTGTTATCAAACGCTACAATCCAAAATATTTCTATTTAGAAAAGTTGTAGCATTTTGAAATCAACTTATAAATAAGCAGACTTTATCTAGTAAATCTAATAAATCAAACAAAACTCAAAATACTACCATTGAAATTTTGGTTACTTTTTCTTTATTGGCTATCTAATTTTTTTCACGCACTATTTGGTATTTTCACTCACCTCTGGTGATGATATAAGCCCAGTGTAACACCAGTTCAACCTTTCACTGGGAGTTCTAAACAATCAAAAGTGACGTACCATGTTCCAGCCCGGGTAGAGGTAGTCTGTACCAACAAATTCAAAGTAGTGTGCAAAACCTTCCTTCAGCCACACATCTTCCCACCACACGGGAGTCACGAGGTCACCAAACCACTGCAGCGACAAAATGAATGGCCATCAGATGACACCAAATCTATCCCAGAGTTATTTTATCTAAAATTAAATTTATTAAACCACGATTATCATAACTGGAATTCACTCTCCAACTGATTTTGTGATCTTAAAATGTGTTGTAGCAAGACTACTGATTTATTTGACTACTCGAGTGAGACTAGTTTTTTCTGAATGCATTCAAGGAAGAACAAGAAAAAAATGATCAAGGAGGGCCGGCCCCGTAGCTGAGTGGTTAAGTTCACGCGCTCCACTTCAGTGGCCCAGAGTTTGCCAGTTCAGATCCTGGGTGCAGACCTATGCACCGCTCATCAAGCAATGCTGTGGCAGCATCCCACATAGAAGAAGTAGAATGACCCGCAACTAGGATGTACAACTATGTACTGGGCTCTGGAGAGAAAAAAAATGATCAAGGAATACAAAAAGAATATTTAACCTGCAGAAGAAAGGACTCAAGAGAAAAAACTGATGACACCTGTCTTTAAATATTTGAAAGGCTAGCGTGCAGAAGAGGAAAAGGCTTGTGTCTTGCGGCCCTACGAGGAACAAATCAGGACCTGCTAGCAGACCGAGATGGCTGAAGATGGAAAACACTTCCTCGGAAGGTGGTGTGTGACTCATCAGAAGCCTCGCCTTCTAGTGGCAGAGGCAATTCAGAGAAGACACTGGTCACTAAAGGAACTAAGGGCTTTCAAGATGCTCCACATCTGGCTCTCCACGATTCTGTGATAATGAGGGGTTGAACTGAAAAAATCTCTAAGATTCCTTCATGAAAAACAAAGTAATTTTTAACTGATGTTTTTCTTGGATCATGATGCATCACTCTGAAATCCTTGTTTGTTCAGCAAAAAGTTAAAGGAATTCTTTTTTCTTTAAAAAAAAAATGCATTACATGCCAAAAGCTATCCTAAAGACTTGGTATTCAATGATGAAAATTCAGATAATGTGCCTTCTCATGCAGCTGACACTTTATTGTGGAAGTAGGGAAGATAAGGTGAGCTAGAAAATAGAAAATAAATAAGCAAATGAACAATGCAATTTCAAATCCTAATACAGTGTGATAAGAATGGGGAGGGGCCATCTTACATTGTAAAAGCAAAGATGTTCTAAGTAGGTGACATTTGAGCTCAGACTTTAAAGATAAGAAGAAGTCAACCATAACAAAGCCTTGGGCAAGAGGACTCCAAGCATATATAAGTAAGCCCTGTGTGAAGACCCTAAGTGGGAATGAGTTATTTCAGAAACGGGAGGAAAAGGCAGCCAAGTATCAGATCACCTATAGCTTTAGGAGCTGCAGTAAAGAGCTTGGCAACTAACTGAACATTTCAATATCAAAGATAAAGTTTCACTTAAAAAGATCTCTAATTGAAATACAAATACGAGACAACCCTGAATACAGTGATGATACAAAATAAATGATATTTAAAATATTTGTTATTCTTTATCAAAAATGCATGTTTCTCCTTTAAATTGAAAGGCTGCCTTAAGAATTGTGACAATAAATAGGCGGAGAGAGAGGGTAATGTAGGAAATAATTTGTCAGTGACAGTGGAAATTATCATGTGTTTCTCGTTCTCCTCCTGGTAAGTAGCCCAGCACTACTAAGCTCTAAGAAAGCACCTCAGAATATGGAACCAGTGGAATCCAGTGCTGGGAACAATGATAGCGTTACCCATGTACTCTTATTTCAACTATACATGTAACTTGTTTCCAGGAACATTCAAAAGGAAGCCGCTTTTCTCTCAAAGAATTGTAGGTTTAGATGGAAACCTTCTCTTTAGCACAGCAGAGGAGTAGTTATCTGCAATGGATCCCTGTAAGTTTCTTAGGCAAGAAACACACGCCCAGCCTGGCCAGCATGACAGGCAGAAACATCTCACAGGTCCACTGCAGAAGGTGGACACTTAGGTGAATGGTCACAGGGCCTGTGCCAATTTATCATTGTCAGTATTCATCATTAGCATTTAATAGTTCACCTTCTTTCACTGAAAGCATTTTCCACATCTTTCTTTCTTAAGTTTTTCTAGCCTTTTAAAAAGGTTTTGGATTCATAACCAATTGAAGTTATACAGCATCGCAATGAGATTTCCGGTGTTTTAACTTAAAAACTATCCATAGTTACTGGTAACCAGGACAGGTATTGCTTTCTATTAGTACGAATACTTATTTTTCAGGGGTTTTTTTTCTCTAGAATCAAAATTCAAACAAGCATTGAAAAATCTCTGTAACACCTTCCACTCATTGTAAGAAAGTGCATAAAATCAAAATGAAATTAATTTTATCTTAGTTTCATTACAAAGTTGGCTAATTTACATATGAATTTCTGAACATGCCAAGACAAAAAAATATCAATCATCTGAGAACAGAAAGTCTATGGATAAGTTAGTGAAAGACTTCCTAAGTGTCTGTGTGATGGGAAAAGGGGAATAACAAATTGATTTCAGCAAAAGCAAATTTTGACACATACACAAAAGTCAGCTGTATCTTGCAGCAAGGCTATAAATCATTGCCATCTCTGTGCTTACCACATATACACACCAATAATCACAAGAAAATAAAGCAAGGTTGACAAGGCATATTGACTGGCCAGGGTCTTCAAAGAGGCTGCTGGGTGCCATCTCACTCCCAACTAAATGAATGACAGTTGCTTATTCAATATGATCAGTGTGTCTGCATTTGTTTGAGCTGTCATCTTAGAAAAACAACATATCTTCCAGAAAGAACTACACAGTTCTCTCTATATAATTAAAACTTAATTGGGAGTATAATAATCTACTCCCTAATCTAAGCATCTGAAATCAGTCTACATTCTCAACAGTTTGCAATTATACTTACACCTGATCTTTTTCTCGTACCTGGTGACATATCTCATGAACAATGACCATGGTGACATCCAGCAAATAAGAAATAGATGAAACACTGGGATCCAGCAGTATTCTTTGTTCCACAAAAATACTTAGTCCCCAGTTCTCCATAGCAGCATACGGATGCTTAGGCACAGCTAAAAGATCTAGAAATAGAATAAAATAATTCCAAAGGTTTTAACAGGTATACCAGATCCTAAATTCATATCCTAAGAGAGTCCATTCACCCCTGTTCGTTTTCAGACCCAGCGCTGTAGAAGGCTGGAAGCATTGGCACCATTATTGATGGGCCCATCCTAATAAGCTTCAGAAAGTCAAGAAAACCAAATGCAGCAGGACTCTACAATCAAGAGGCATTGTACCTTCCAATGAAAATAGATCCAGCTCAATGCAGTAAATACTGTACTTTTACATCAATACTTTTCAAGAGAAAACATTTTATATCAGTTTAAAATGTGATATTTTCCTAATTGCTTAAATTCTAATTTATTTTTTGAGTTCTTTTAAAAATAAAATGTCCCATGTAAATATAGCTTATAGAGAAAATTATAATAGTGGATGGAGTGGCAAAAGGACTATTGAGAGAATCCGCAGGCGTCGGTTCTGGTCCCACCTCCACCATTAACTAGATATATGACATTGGTAAATCGCTTAATTTCTCAAGACCACAACTCCTTCACCCATAAAATAAGGTTATTGGCTTTCATTATCTCTAAAATCCCTTCCAGCTCCAAAAATCTATGATTAGATGACTCTAAGATTGGCGCTTCTTTTAAAAGCTCGTAGGAGTATTATCAACTTCTGGTTGAGGTGACACGGTCAGTTCATGCTTTGATGCACTCCCTTTGCTCCAAACACGTAGTGGTGATACATAAAATAACAAAAGGGAAAACTAAAAAATATCTGCAGCCTTGAAAATAAACCTCTCCATGGATCAGAAATGTGAAGTCGTGATTGCATATGAAGTCACAGGCCTGCTGGCTTCTGGCTCCACGGGCAGTGGCAGCTGGGAACTGGCCCCAGCAGGATCCGCCAGAGACCAAGGGACCTGAGCCAAGCTGACTGCCTGGTGCCAGGGCTGAGGGAAGGCATGAGAAGGGCTGAACACTGCCGGAGCTCATTGCTTCCTGGGAAAGCCAGCAAGCACGGACTAGGGATTTGAGCCCAGGCAGCCCAGCTCTAGGACTTGTTCTGAATCACAGTAAAGTTTACAGCCCCTGACTGAGAAGTTTGACTTCCCAATCTAACCCCTGGAGTAATTTAATAGGGTGCCAAAAAAAAAGGAACAAGAATATTTACTTCAATATTGTTTGTAAGAGTGAAAATGGAAAACCAAATGCCTTTCATCAAGATAATCAGCAAGAAACTGAAATAATAGTATAAAGGAATACTATACAGTAAATGAAATAAATGATCTCACCGCTAGATTCTAACACTACATGTATCAACATGGATAATCTGAAAAATATAATGTAGACAGAGCAAGTAAGATGTAAAGTGACCCTAACCTATACTACTTTAAACAGAATTATATCATATGTTGTAAACGGATACTCACACATGCACACACATCCCCAAACAGATAGCAGTGGTATAATACACATACCGTCACACACATTTAGGAATGATAAACACCAAATTCAGAATCGTGATGGCTTCAGGAAAGAAAGAAGGAAAAAGGGATGAGGAATGGTCTTCTGGGTTCCCAGACCCAATTTCACCTTGGGGTTGGGGGGGTAGTTTCCCACACCATCAGCAAGCAATTCTTGGACACCAGTAGCGTGTCTGAGAATTCAACTCAATTTTGACACTGTCTGCCTGGAGATATCAGATCCCACAGGTTAAGGTCTCTGTCCTACAAGACTTCCCCCCGAACCATGTCAGATGCCAGTCACAAGTTCAGGTTGTTTCCTATGCTTCTGAACTACTAGCTACAAACTGGAGGTTCAAATTACCCCCTCCAACTCAGGATGTCGAATGCAAGTCCCAGGTTGTTACCTGTATTTCTGACCAACTGGCTGTAAATTAGAGATTTCCGCGACCTCCTCTCCAGGTTTGATTAATTTCCTAGAGTGGCTCACAGAATTCAGGGAGACATTTACTTACTAGATCACCACTTTACTTACTAGATCACTTCTTATAAAAGGATATAACTGAGGAACAGCCAGATAGAGGAGATGCATACAGCAAAGTATGGGGAAAGGGCGCAGAGCTTCCATGTTCTCTCCAGGGGCCATTCTCCACAAATCTCCACGTGTTTACCCACCTGGAAGCTCTCTGAACCCCGTCCTTTCTGGGTTTTATGGAGGCGTCCTTACACAGCCATGATTGATGAAATCACTGGCCATTGGTGACTGAACTCAATTCATGGAGCTCAGTGCGTGGGACTAAAAGTTCCAAACTTCTAGTCACGTGGATGTTTCCCCTGGCAACCAGCTCCCATCCTTAAGTTAGTTTCAAAAGTCACCGCATTAACAAAAGAGAACTTTATTGCTCTCATCACTTAGGAAATTCTAAGGGTTTTGTGAGCTGTGAGCCAGGAACCATAGACAAAGACCAAATGTATATTCCTTATATATATTTGACCAAATATATATTTCTTATAAATCACCATATTACACACAGTCACACAAGGGATTTCAAATGTCTTTAATTTTAATTTTTTAAAGCAGGTGATGGGTACATGCGTATTATTTGTAATATTATTGATTCTTTTCTGTTTGTTTTAAATATTTCATAATAAGAAAAAGAATAAAATAGTCAATGCTCTTATAATATGGTTGATTTTCATTTATTTAAGACTTTGACAAACATCTTCTCAGCTTTCACTGTGTCCTTAAGTCTGAAATGCATATTAAAATGTCAAGTATGGTCCCTGTATCTGCTACATTTTAAACTAAAAATGGAGACAGGACAGCTTAACACAAGAAATAAAGAAAGAATGAAAAATGCTGTGAAAGAGAGAGAAAACAAATGTGGTTGGAGAGGTTCTTGAAAGAGAGAGTATTTGAGTTGGACTCCAAAGACACAGAGGACTTCAGCAGGCAGACAGAAGGACTGTATTGGCTGAGCATCTCCTTTGCACAATAAAAGCACTGTTCTGTCCTTCAAGCTCCTTGCTCCCTGTTCCCATGGCTCTTATACTCATATGTGGATGTGTGTAGGAGGAGGAAGTCAATTAACAAGTAATAGACAAATGAAAGGAATTTAGAAAGTGATAAATTCTACAAAGAAAATATAATAGAGTAAGACAGTGATGGACTGGTGGGTGGGGCGGCTGTAGCCTGATCATGGCAGGCCTCTCTAAGGTACTCACATTGCACCTGAGATGTCAGCAATGGCAGAAGCCAGCTGTTTGAATCTCTGTGGAAGTGTGTTCCAAGAAGGGGAGACAGCAGATACAAAAGCCCTCAGGAGGGAATATGAGCAGCATATCAGACAAACAGAAGGAAGATTGGTGTGGCTGAAGCACATAAAGAAGAAGAATGTAGATCCAAGAATTGGTACAAATTGCAAGTAAATAACAGATAGACATCCTTCTACTTAAGATTTTAACTTGAGACCTCCCCTCAATATGAACACACTAAGCCATGGAACATTGTGTCAACTCTGCCTGCTACCAGCAGATGGCAACAGCAGTAGCATACCTGGTGTCATCTACTTGTAGGACTACGTGGACATAAAGATAATGCTTTGGACCCAAGCATGTTGCAAGCAGAGACACTCCTGTATGCTAGAGTACTCTATGAGCCCAGATTAGGCAGGTCCCCAAGATGAAGTGAGTAAATCAGACCACACCCTGGGATTTGGATTGGCTCAAATGGCACAGAGAGAAGACTCCAGAAATGGTCAGATGAGGAGTCTAGGAGTTTAGAACAAAGGAGAAGATAAACTGAGGGGGCAGTCATCGGAGATCAAAAGCTTGGCTAGTAGCATATGCAGGTACACTGAGGAGGCAGCTGAAGGTTGGTGCCGAAGACATCAGGCAGTGGTGAGCCAGGCAGGCAGCTGGTTATATCTTGGTATCCAGAGGTCTGAGGGCACATAAGTCAGGCTTGATAACAAGTCCATACATCAACCAGACAAGGAACTTCAGTGAATGGAGCCAGACTCAGAGAAAGTGATTGACAATGGAGGAGAGCAGTAGGCGGCAGCTTCTCAGACCCAGGCAGGCTTTATAATAGAGATGGAGATAGACATAGGGAACCATGTCTATGGATGGCAGAAGGAACAAAAGAGAAAGTAACAAAAGTTTAGATTATACTCCTACACACGTAATAACCTTATAACGAAGTACTGAAGAAACTTGGAGTTTGTTCTAGCAGCCACTGAGAGAGATTTAACTGGACCTCTCTGCTCTGTGTCTTCATGACAAGGAATCAGGGTAGTGTTATAGTTTAAGAACACCTGCATGAAGCATATATCCATCTAAAGGCTTGTACATGAATGTTCATAATAGTTTCACTTGCAATAGGCAAAAACTGGAAATAAATCCAATGTCCATCAACGGGTGAATGGATAAAGTGTGGTACATTCATACAACAAAATGCTGCTCAGAATAAAAAGAAATGAACGATCAATACATGCAACAACACAAGTGAGTCCCAAAAATAGTTACAGTGAGTAAAAAGGAAGAAAATACATATACATATACACTCCATAATTCATGCCATTTATATAAAATTCTAGAAAAGGCAAACTAATCTCTAGGGTCAAAAAGCAGATCAGTGGTGACCTGGGGACAAAGATGGGAGGGGCTAAAAGAGAGTGACAGGAGGTCTGTGGGGGTGATGGATATGCTCACGATGCTGATGGTTTCATGGGTGTACACATATCTTAAGACAGCAAGTTATACACTTTAAATATGTGCAGTTACTGCACGCCAACATACCTCAATTAAGCTGTTAAAAAAAACTTCAGTAATTGAAATGTTTTTTGGCTTAACTTCGAAGAAGGTAAGATTTAGTCATAATGAATTAAATTATTTTAATTTTTGAAAAATAAGTTTGTCATAAGGCTAGAGCCATTAAAATGTGCAACTATAACTCTTTAATATGCCTTCAAAACAGAAGAAAACTCAAACGTTTCAGAATCTAATTTACTTAGAAATTTAAAGAAAATCTTGAATAAAATTATGCATAGTAGT